CTAGCAGCACTGTGCATCAACACCAGTTGCACGCTCTGACCAAACAACCTGGCAGTCATGACCTTTAGTAGATGCAAAGGATTGCATCGGCATGTACACAACTCACCATGAATTTGAGCTGCTTTTGTATGCGCGTTCGCCATCAGGCAATAGTCCTTTGTTCGCTCACTTCCTAGGCTCTGCCATCTGTCAAGCACCATCCTGCTAATATCCGCAGGAGTTGCTGAGGGATCAGCTGCAGCTATGTGCTCCCTGCAATAGAGCAAGAAAAGTGTGACGGCAGCTGAGTACAACTGAAAAAAATACAATAGGTCACTGCACCCGCAACGACGACGACTCAAACTAGCACCTATGACTCAAACTAGCCCCTCTGCTTGCATCAGTATATATACTTGTGGCTGATGGGACAAGTTGACGTGCTATCACTGCCCCTTGTCGCTGTGCAGGCCGAAGGCATGCACATGCTGGAGCTTGAATTTTGCAAGATTGAGCGCACACCGCCCGTGCTTGCGAAAGGCACAGAGCTGATACAACACTACAACAGCCACAACAATGCGTACGCCAGCGCAAACAGCATCTTTTGCCAAGTTGGAAAGGTCAGTGATATGATCTTGTCAAGGGGCTATGGTGCAACGAACAGCAAGTGTAGACAGGCACAGTGCAACCTCCGCCAATTCAGCCAACCTCAAATGCATCCAAGTGCGGTGACATGTTTGAAAGCAAGGCGATGGAACAGGAAGATGGCGTTATAATCATTTGAAGTACTTGATGATAAAAATTGGGGCCAGCTTTGCCATCTGAGCCATCTCGCAGCTGTGATCGCTCAGTGTTGCAGCCCTACTTCCAACGCTTGCCGATGTACCTATGCAATGATTCATTCTTTGTTCAGTTGGGTGTGCCGTGTGCGTGTGAGGTCCTGTTTGGGGTGGCATATCCGGTCTTTGTCAGAATGGCGCTACTTGGCTTGCAAGTAAAAGTAGAGTGGACCCTAGCATAAGGAAGCATTTTATTCACCGCAAGTGAAATAACCTTAAGTTTCTGCCTGATGGTGGCAGTGGCCGGATTGCGTACCTGTGCTCGCAATAAAACACCATGAAAGGCGTCAACTTGCGTGCCGTCGCCATCACAGCTTGTCCTTCACCTTCGCAGGCCAGGGATCAGTTTGTTTATAGGGTATGCACAGCCTGCACTCTGTTGCCCAAAATGAAGCCGCTCGGCGACTGGGTTACGTGGCTCAGCGGCAGCAGCATTCCTTTTGTCACCAGACCTTTTGTGCCGTTGTCCTCGAGAGAGAGAGACACACAAGACCGTTCACTTCAAGTCTGCACTTCACTTCAAGTCTTCGGAAGTTGAAGATGAAAAAAAATTTAAAAAATTGATTTCGAGACCAACCCCTTCTCATTGGGCATTGAGAATAGTTTTGCGATGTAGTCACGTTAGCCAGCACGCACTGTCTGCGCGCGACTGCACGTGCATGCCTAGCCTGGGACGTGAATGCACGAATCAGTGAATGAATGAATGCATGTTGATGTACTTTTATTAGTTTCGCTTCGCAAGGGGCGCGAAAAGCCCTCTCTTTGGATGTGCACTCAATGCAACATTCCTTCTCCGAAGAGAGACTCAAACGCAAACAGGCTTCCCCCTCTTCACACTACCACCAACACCCCACAACCAAACCCTACTTACTAATAGGGTTGCCAAGCCGTGAGGCACACTTGTCCCGTCTTGAAAAAGATTTATGCAGGCCTGGGTCGCCTTTGACAGCGCCCAGAACTGAGGACCATGCTGACACGTCTGAATCACGCCTCTAGGCAAAATGATCACTGGGCACCAGGCACCGGTGCTAAGGGTATCAATGCTGTTGCTACAAAGAGTCCAACCCAACCCCAACAAACCCCACCCAAACCCCGATCGGTCCCCACTATCATGCTGCACCAAAGTGCCTAAACTACTGCCTCTACACGACCAAACCCACTTTGAGGCCTCCCGTGTCTCTGCCAAAATGGTCCTAACCGTGAACAGCTTTGTGCAGGCCTGGGCTACTGGTAGCAGCGCCCACTGGCAGAACTGAGGACAATGGTCATGGATCACTAAGTGCCAGGCACTGGTGCTGCAAAGGCTGATGCTGTCACTCCAGCAAGCATATCTACTAAAACCCGCCCTTCTATTTGCTAGTGTTACCCCCCCCGGTGTCCCCGGCCGCACACTGGAACCCCTGCTGCGAACTCCTTCCTCCTGCAGCAGCTCCTGCTCCTGCTCCTCCGCGCCGCTCCCGCCAAGCAGCTGCCGCCGCCTGCCCCGTCGCCGCGCACAGGCGCCGCTCTCTAACCACATGCCTTGGACAACACTCCGCAGAGTTGTATGACTAACAATCAAGGGTGCCGCGAGGCCCCAAGATAGTGTCCTTGTGTCGGTTGTGGGTTGAAGGCGTGCGCCATCGCCGGCGGCAGGGACGGCGGCGGATAGGCTCCGGTCTTCGACGGTGTGGTTGCAGGTGTTGGTGTTCGCGTTGATGATCTTGGCGCAGCAGGCAGCAGGCTTGACACTCGGTCGCTGCGTCGGCGTAGGCCACCAAGCAGGCGAAGCCGCCACCTGCCTGCGCCGTCGCCGCATCGCTGACCCTCCCCACGGACAAGACTCTGAAAGAGTTTGTGTAACAACAATCAAGGGTACCGCTAGGTCCCAAGATAGTGTCCAGATGTGAGGTGCTGGGGCAGCAAATGCGGTGTACGGCGGCAAGTGCTGGTGGAGGCAGCGCAGGTCCGATGTCCACAGTCGCCGATGCAGCAATCGGTGCCAGAGGTGCCAGCAGAAGCTGCGGTTTGCCGCCACACGAACAACACTCCATAGGAGTAGGGTCAACAATCCAGGGTGCCGTGAAGCCCCGGGATAGTGTCCTTGGTGGCGAACTTCAAGCGCAGGTTGGTCGGCACATGGCGGAAAAGGCACGAGCCCTGGCGACGGCCGAGCAGGCGTAGTCTGCAGCAGCTGCGCACAGCTGCATGAGCCCCACTCCTTCTGCTTCAGCCACGGATCAGCTCGAAGAGCAATTGGTATGACAATCAACGGTGCCAAAAGGCCCGAAGATAGTATCCTTGGGTGGCGTGAGGGGAGGGAAGTAGCTGCTCGTGCTGCTTGAGAGGCGAACTGCAAAGCTTTCCATGTCCTTGCCGATGCCGCGAGCTCGAACGTAATGCTCCTCTGGCCTGCTGGTGCTGTGTGATAAGGGGCTCCAAATGTGCGGCTGAAATGTGGCAGGTGCTGCTGCGGCGCGCCAGATGCACCATGGCTGGTGAAACATGCTAGGCGCGCCAGACAAGCAGCCCCCACCCTCCACTTCATGGCGCTGCCACACCCTTCGATGTTGGCGAGCTGGCCCGGGGGGGGCAAACGTGTCTGTTGATGTACTTTTATTATATTCCACTTGTGGCTGTGGAAATGCCATGTTGTAGGTGTGTCGCCTTGTTCTCACTCTTCAAGTTTGAAGTTGGATGTAGCATGCAAAGCTTGCACGCCACACCCCGCCCCCCACCTCACCCTCAACAAAGCACCCGCAAGCGACTGTCCCCCACATACTAGCAGGGATACCAAACAAAGCTACAAGACTCTCCCCCCACAGACAGACCCGTCTTAGGGCCACCCAGCTTCACACAGACTCCATCTCAAAGTTTTCATGCAGGCCAAGGTCACCATAATGGGCCCTGAACTGGAGATTGTGGCTATCTACGTGAACCCCGATATCATAAACATAAGCAGAGGGAGTCACTGGGCGCCAGGCGCTGACGCTAGAAAGAAAGGCTATATAACTAAGCAAAGCATCGCCTCCTTGATGAGCGGGACAATGGTTCACCGGGCCTCCCATATCACCGTGACCCCCAACAAAGCATCCGCAAGCGACTGTCCCCCACACACTAGCAGGGATACCAAACAAAGCTGCAAGACTCTCCCCCCACAGACAGACCCTTCTAAGGGCCACCCAGCTCCACGCAGACTCCATCTCAAAGTTTTCATGCAGGCCAAGGTCACCATGATGGGCCCTGAACTGGAGATTGTGACTATCTACGTGAACCCCGATATCATAGAGATAAGCAGAGGGAGTCATTGGGCGCCAGGCGCTGACGCTAGAGAGAAAGGCTATATAACTAAGTAAAGCATCGCCTCCCTGATGAGCAAGGTCACGGCTCACCGCAGGCTGCAAGCCTGACAAGATATTGCCATTTACCGCTGCGAGTCACTTGTGGTTGGTGCCGTGGCGTGCAGCCGACTCCGCTTGCTCTCCAAGCACGCCAAGCCGCTGCCTGTCCCTCCTCCGCACGCCAGCCAGGGCTTCCGAGACACCACCACACGTTTGAAGTTCTCTCGAAGGGGCTACGCACGCTGGCATCACCTGAGGGCCGCTGGTGCTAGCTCCTGCAAGCCCTGCAGCCCAGCCCACCCACCAAACCAGCCGCATTCGCTGCCACGCCTTTCGGCGTTAACGAGCTTGGGACGCTGCAGGTGTACTTAGTTGATGTATTTTATTATGTTGAATGTACTCTAAATTGTGTGCGCCATCGTGGCTCAGCGCAACAATGCGCAGCCAGAAAGCTTGATTAGCGAGCAACGCTGCTGCCAGCCGACGCATTATTTGCCGTATTGACCGGCCTTGCCACACGTGTCAAGGCCAGTACAACTTGAACCTTGAGTACGGGCCCTGCAAATGCATAAGTGGGCACGGCAAGGGTGGCACAGAGTTGAGCACTGGCGGCAACGGTGGCGCACCACATCGCCGGAAACTTCTGCTGCGACGATGCACTGAGTGCACACCGCCGTCAGGGCGCGTGCACTGCCGCTGCGCGGTGCCGCTTCGCCAGCACTACTGTGCGTACTGCACTGCCTGTATCACATATGCTGCTGCTCCCATCCGCCGCGCAACCGCCAGCGGCGCCAGTGTGTTTTTTCAAAAAAGAAATGACAACCTCTTTGCAACAAAAAGCTGCGCAAAAGACAATCATCAAAAAAGCTTCCGGCGCGATTCGAACGCGCGACCTCACCCTTACGAAGGGCGCGCTTCTGCCACTGAGCCACGGAAACAAGTTGCTAATCTGTGGTCGGCAAGAAATGACGACAATTGAAACTAAGTTCACGGCAGTAGGGAGCTGAAAACTCAAGTCGAGGAGAGCGAGCGCATGCCCACGTACCGCGCTGCCACTTGCAGTGCACAGGTGTGCAATGTGCGTCCGCGTACCACGCATGGCGGACCTGCACAAACTTGTGAATGTAGCGTGCGATGCTCGTGCTGTCATGGATACCTATATAGGCAATGCGTGCAAGGGCTAAGCATCGAGGACGGGCATGATCATCAAGCTGGCTTGTAGTATTTTGCATGTCATCACGAGGTTCGAAGTCAAGTGAACCGTAGGAGAACTACTGCGTACGTGCCTAAACACCTGTTTCGTGGACTGAACACGAGCTCTTGCTCCACACAACGCTGCCCCCGGCCTGTTTGAGCCCTGCTGCAGGTGACCCCCCCCCATGTGTTGAGTGCTGCTGCCGCCAGTGCCTGTCTTGCAAGCGTCCATCGCGCTCGAGAAGCAGCTGGCTGAGGTACGTCAAGTTGGAGCATGTGCCTCTGGTGTGCAGACTGGCCATGGCAGGCATCCTAGTACAAAGGCTTGAGCTAGCCTACAGTAAGGTTCTAGCGCAACCCTACAAGTAATATATGTTGATAGGTTCTCATGGCGAGCAGACATCATTGCATGTCATGCTCTCACCACAGACCGGGTGACGCTTCAAGTTTGAGGCCTGGGCTTCGGGTAATCATTATGTTAGTAGTGATGGCGAGCTCTTATAGGTCAAAGTTGGTACAGGATGGAAACGAGTCACATAGTCTGTACAGGATGGAAACGAATCAAAAGATTGTAGAGCTCTAGGTGACAAGGAGTGGTTAGCCACAAGTGCCTTCCACCAATAATATTCCCAGTCGCTGCATGCGTATGCACCCTTTTCCACGCAGGATTGACTTCACGTTGAGACCTTTGTGCCGGCGCGGCACGGCGCGATCGTCGCTGCACGGCGGTTATTGCTGCAGCACCGCAATTGGCTGCCGTTCTGAAATGCATGCACGAGGTATGAAGGCTCTCATGGGTGTGATTGGCAAGGTGTGTAGTACCAGGCGCGACATCAGCGCACATGCCTGTCCAACTGTTGACATGTGTGGACATGACATGCCATCAGCGAGCTCCCGCCGCATGCTTCACTGACACTTCCCTCGTTCAACGCGCTCACGCGTGCTACAGGTGCACATCAAAGTTTCACCGACATCCAAGTGAGAGCGTAAAGCTCACCACCGTGCCAGGAATGGACAACCAAGGGACCCAAGCAGACACAAGACTCGCGGCTAGCGCATGTGTTGCTAGAAGAGGTGATCGTTGAGAACCCAGGAGGCAAACATGAATAGCCACGTCAGTGCTCAACAGGACCCAACCTCAACATGAGCTGAGCTGTGCGCGCTGTCACCAAGATCTAAGAACCTGCCATCATGATTGGTGGAGGTACGCAAGCACTCAACCTGCATGTGCCACTCGTGCAGATTGTTATTCTGGCAGGCGTCCCAAGGTTAGGGCTTGAACTACAGGGCCCAGCGTACTGCGCTCGTGTAGATTGTCACCCTGGCAGGCACAGCATTCCAGGTTTTACTAATTAGGGCTGGAACTTCAAGTTAGGTTTAGCACTGTGGCACCCGTACCCTTGGGCTGCCTTTCATGGATCCTACTCTCCCTGGCTCTGATGCCATGGTGAATAGATGTCATTGCAAGAGCGTCATGCTTGCAAGCGCGCTTTTTCCCCTAAGGCTTGCAACTTGGCTAAGCTCTGTGATAATTACTTAAGACTTAGTGCTGGAACTTTGGCATATGGGGCACAGTCGCCGCCATCATACTAGTAGCTGTGGTTGGGTGCTACTATTCAACTGACCTGCACCAGCTCAAAGCCTTTATGTCACTCACAATGTGATGTTACTTACATTGTGATTGTGGGAATAAACCGTAACTCATAGGCCTAATTTGAGTTTGAGGCGGGTCCTCGATGCTTCGGGATAGATTTACGCAAGCCCATTGGTTGAATTTGGCTCGGTTAAACCATGCCAATGGGCTTGCGTAAATATTTACGCAAGCCCATTGGATAGCAGGCCCTCTGTACGCACGCCTATTGGTGGTGGCGCACCGCGCGCGGGTTCGAACGCAGACAAATCATCCGCTGCTTGTGCAGCAACCCGAATTGCCTTCCGCAGATAGATGATTCAAATCAGGCATCTATAGGATGATTGCAGTGCAGCTGAGCACGGTTGTGTTTGTGGAAGGAACGGCACTGAAGCTGCACTTGCATCGCAAGAAGTGACGCCTCCATTGGTGCACATGGGCCATCAAAATGTGAACTACGAGGGCAGCATGTGAGCCGCGGTCCTGGCAGGCGCACTCCTGTTGTTATAACACGCATTGCAATGGCAACGTGTGATGCCGGCACGTGCGACTACGAGGGCAGCATGTGAGCCGCGGTCCTGGCAGGCGCACTCCTGTTGTTATAACACGCATTGCAATGGCAACGTGTGATGCCGGCACGTGCGGCGACGCCGGCGCATCAGACGTGTTTTCACAGCGAGCTGCCGCAGCGCTTTTGTGCGTGCACGCGTATGGCAATGATGCGCACGGCAGTGGACCATCATATATCGGTGCTGGCGATGTCAACGCGCACGGCGAAATTGGCACTTCAGCCGCGCTCTCAGCGTCAGTGGCAGCAGTGCTTTCACGTTGGCGCACGCGCAACGTGCACGACATATGCAGCACGCTCAGCGCTAGTGTGGGGACGCTTGGCGTGCCTACCTAGGCAGAGGTGTACGTGGATGGAGCGGAGTGTGGGTCTTGTTCTGAGAGGGCAATAGGTATGGGACCTTCGCAGTTTTTTCTATGGTTTCTGCGTCAAGAGGATGGTACTCAGTGATTCCTGACAGTGTGCTTGCCCAAGGGGCGGTTCCACTGAGTTGTATTTACAGCCAATCTTACTCTTATGACATACATGTCTTCTCGGGATGTGCAACTGTGTGGGACGGGGTGATCTTGACGACATAACCTTGAGTGCAAGGCACCAAAAATCAATTAAAAGATTGGATAATGTTGTGCGTGGATTGCATGCCGCAGTATAGAGTAACAAGACATTGTCATCAACAGATGATATGGGCATGATAATGCATTGCCATGGCCTCGAATCCAAGAAGTAAGTAGCGTACATGTTTTGCGCTGTGAGGCTCTTGGACCACGGACACATTGTGAACAGGCGATACCATATGCTGAATTAGTGAGGGGCGCCTACATGCTTGGCTGTGGATACATCCGCAAGCACACCAGCTTCTGCTACAATTATGACTTGTGCATGCTCAAAGCAAAATACAGCGAGAAGGACATAACAGAGCTCGTTGTATGCTAGATTCCCCTACGTGCAAGTTGCCTGGCCTCTAATTACGTGTCACGGCTTGTTGTTGAACCCCCACTGCAGCCAACAACCATATCACTCAATAGATGGTGAGCTGACTGTGCACATCAGCTATTAGTGTGTGATCTGTAGTCAACAATGTGCCAAGCTTTTACGGTAAGCTGTATGAATATCATCCTATGGTTTATGCTTGTGATGATCGTATTTGGTGGCTTAAAACGTCGCAGGAACACCTGTTTTCAAGCTACTACAACGGCACGACGACGCGCGCGCGCACAAAGCCTCGCTACGCTCGATTTAATTCTAGCCCTATCCATAAGCATTAAAAATTCGCCTAATTTGAGCCCGCCCGTTGCACCTTCTGCTCAGTTCTGGTCACGCGTGTGATGTTGCTCATTGCAATTCCACAGGTGACATGCCGCCTCAGGCTGCCAGATGCGGCATTACGGCGTAGCCTCCTCAACTCTGCTGGTGATGACTTGCAAATCACATCTGAAGCAGATTTCCAAAAAAGTTGCGACAAGACTGAGTGACACCTGTTTTAAGGTACCATGAGGCGCGGCACGCTCAAATGCTGCGCACTGCATCATGGCATGTGCTCCTCAATGTGGACCACTGCAGTGGCAATTACTGAAAGCGTGGTAGTAGTCGGACCTCAAGTGATGACTGACGGCGCAAACATTGAACTCGATGTTTGAGGCGAAGATTTTGATGATGCAACGGAGAGACCCTGAGCTGTTGCTCACTGTGGAACTTTCAATGTGTTGCTGTACCCACCAAGGTGACCAGGCTAAAAGCAAGAAGCGTAAATTGCATGCAACACAGCACCGACAGCCGTGCGCTGCCATGGATATCATGATAGACATCGCCTCTGGAAGATAAATACTGTATTCGTAGTCTGTTCATGGGCAAGAGTAGTTGCGTACCCAACTGTCAAGCGTGAAAATGGCTGTTGTATGAGCCTGCGCTCATGCTCGCGCACACGAGCGTCTTGCTTACTGTGCGCCTGCACATCGAGCTGAAGTAGTTGACGTCGATCAGGTGCAAGTTCCTGATTTTGTTCCGACGACTGCACAATTGCACGCTTCCGTGGCTCAGTGGCAGAAGCGCGCCCTTCGTAAGGGTGAGGTCGCGCGTTCGAATCGCGCCGGAAGCTCTTGTTTTCGCACTATAAGCTATGCTCATTTTATGTGCTGGTACGTATGGACTTGTATGTGCTGGTACAGTACTTTTTATTTATCTCGCTCAGGGCGCGAAAAAGCCCAGATGATTGGCATCTAGCTGTAAGGAATCTACATGTCGTATGACAGTCTGAAAGTGTCGCAACCACAACCACTCAAACGCCGCCGCCGCCAAATGGCGTCTCGGGGTCCTCCCCTACGTCCTCCTCCATGTGCCCCCCCCCCCTGGATTCTGCCATGTGTGTCATGACACGGCCAGAGTACGCCATGTGGAGCGCTGCCGACAGTGCCGAGCGTAAGCGCGCCAGGGCGATGCCCTTGAGAGCTTTAGGGCGCGCTCCTCCGGGCACTGACATCCTGCTGGCATACTCCGTCGCCACAGCCTCCAGCAGCTTCCGCCCCTGCTCCCCGCTGCTGCCAAATGAC